CCCCAAAACCCCAAAACCCCTCTCTCATAAATTTAAGTTAGGTAATCTCATTAATTTAAATGAATTAGATATAATTAATACATTAATTTTTAATTTTATTAAAAAAGTTATCAAAAGCATAATCTATAAATTGAATAATCTTAAACTTCCTGGAATTATTCTCAATTTCTGGAATTATTCTCAATTTATTAATTATTAAACTCAGAGTTTTCATTCTTGATATTAAGCTAATCTTTTGTCTACAACCTTTCTAATGAACTCTTATTTCATCAAATACTAGTTCTACATTACTCTAGACTCACCCATCGCTAGAAATGTTCCCTTGATTTCATCTCTTAATCTAATTATAGCCCAAATTCCATAAAATACATTCATAAATATCATTGAGCATACTACATTTTCATAGTAGGATTCTAGTTTTTCCTCAATATAAGTTTTCAAATCCTAATCACCCTTATAGTTTGTCTCATGATAGTAACTAAGATATTTCTCAGCACAGAACCTGATCTCTCTTTCTGTGATCATATTTTCTGGGTAAAACTTTATGCCGAATTCTCCCGGATGATTGTTATCCTTCATGAAACAGCCTAGAAAACTGCCAAGATCATTGTAATTAGGAGCAAACGCAGGATCTTCATAATCAATTACCATAATTTTTGCAGTGTCTTTATCAAAGCTAAGTATATTGCCCTATTAAACATCATAGTGGGATACAAGAATATCTTCTTATGCTTCTTCCTGTTACTTTAAGAGATTATCGAGGTATAATTGCATATCTATGTCATAAAAGTTCTCCTTGATAAAGTTTAGTTTTAGTAAATGAGCCTCTTCATGTCTTTGAGTCATTAAACCTTCAAGTCTTGCTTTGAATTAGGGGTAGTATTTGTCTCTGAATCCCATAAGCAATGTCTACTTCTTGCCATTATTGTAATTAAATAAGAACTCATTCAACTTTGGATTGTACTCAAATTCAACTAACTTTTTAACAATCTCTTGCATGTAATGAGGGTTTCTCATCTCAAATATTTTAAGTTAAGATATCTCATAGTATTTTTCTATCCTAAAAAAATCACACTGGTGATAAATATAAGGTCCCCAATTCTGATCTGACAATATCTGAGCGAAGTGCTTCTCCTTGTCAAGTCCTGGTCTCTTTTCTGTATCATAAAGCTTAATTATTATGGGATTGTTTTCTCCAAGTTCAAGACTCTTATTTCTACCAACAAATGTAGTACCTGTAAATCCGCCCGGCAGGGAAATTTCAACATCATCAATACTTGATACATTATCCCAGTCTTTAACATATTTGTGAAGCTAATCAAAGGGAAAATCTTTGAAGGCAAGATATTAATAATCCATTTAATAATATGATTGTAATACTATTATACCACAATTAAAATTATAAATATATATATTAGATACTAAATACTTCTAAGAGCATATTTATCTTAGTGGGGTTTTGGGGTTTTGGGG